CAAGATAGAAAGAGTCATATGCGAAAAAATATCTCAAAATATTCGAAACAATTACTATTCCAATTACAAGTAGCAAGCAGCTGCGATCCGCCACATCGTCATCCCAAAAGGACCGGGAAGGAGAGAGGGAAAGGGTAAGGAGAGAAACGGAAGGGCAGGGACGGTGACAGGGGAGAAAAAAAGAAAAGAAGAAAAAATCCTACTCCAGCTCTATCCTCCAGGTCCAAGGTGCTCCTGTGTCCGCACGGACCATCTCGCCAGATTGTAGGAAGGGTATGGCAAGTCCCTGAAGCGTTTTTCTGCCCCATGCCATCTGGGGCGTCATCAGACGGGGGGACATCTCCCATGGTCTTTGGAAGGCAGGGGGGTTGAGGGGGGGTGCGTGGGGGTATTTCGAGAGGAGGACGAAGGACGGTCAGGAGGGTGGGGGACCTTCAGGGGGGGAGAGAGGGCCGGGCAGGGGGGACAGAGATCATATTGAGGGGGAGGGGGGAGGGAATAGATGAAATAGAGGAAAGAAAGAAAAGATAAGAAGGCGAGAAAGGATAGAAAAACGTGAGGCGATGCTCTTGTGGCAGCCTTGGACTCCATAGTGCTCCTTGTCCGCTCCTATCTAGCGATCGCGCCCACCCAGCGAGCAGAGCCAAGGGCAAAGAAAAGGCAGCAGCAGCCAGCAAGCAATAGAACTCCGAAGATGATGGTGCAAGCAATAAGCAGCGCAAAGCTCCTAGATGAGGTATGCAAAAACACTCTTTCCGAGAGGCATGCGATGCACAGCAGTGCCGCTATGGCCACGTTGGGGAGCAGCGCAAAAAACAACAGCTGGCCCAAGTACGCATTGAGCGCCGGCGCGAATGAGCAACTGTGGAGCGGATGAGGTTCGACAGGGCACGTCGCATCCGTCTGCATGGCGTAAGGCCGAGGTGCGATCTGGAAGGAGAAGGAGCCTATACTAGGAGTGTTACCACTTCCTCCTGCCCTCGCTGCTCCTCCTCCTGGTCCCAGTCGCCGAAGAAATCCATGTCGCAAAAAAAGCTACGCTAATCTCTCACAAAGGTCGCGTCGAACCACGTTCCGCCCGCCGACAGTGCAACTCATCACACGGTGAATCGATGAATAGCATCGCCTATCCTTAGTCCTAATATAGTAGCTATGCAACGTGCTTCTAATGAAAGCCAGCTATCCTATCCAACCATCTAATGCATCCATCCGACGGGCGCCAGATGAAGGATCATGCCAAAAAAAGGGAAAAAAAGGAAAAAAAGAAAAAA